CAGGCGCCCGGGGATCGCCGCTCGCTGCGCGCAACCGCAGTGACAGCCGGCGGCCGGGCTCCCGCGCAGCCGCAGTAAGGGGGTACCCCCCAGCGCGCAGCCGCGCTGGCATTCTTCTGAAGCGCCGAAGCCCTGGCCTTTCGGGCCTGCGCCGGCGCACTGAGATAAAAGGGCGGGACCTGAGGTCTCACGCAGGCGCCTGGGAGAGCTCGTAAGGGTCACAGCGCAGCCGCAGAAACAAGAGGACGCTTCGTCCATTGGTGTTTGTGTATGGACCAAGAATACTCTGTTCCCGCGCAGGCGTGTTGAGGATGTTTCGCTCCCGCCCTACAACACGCCCGGCTCTCGCGCAGGCGTATTGTCACCTGCAGGCCCTAACAAGAATGCTTCTCCTTTCGCCATTTTGGTAACGGGATATAGACTACCATGTCTTTGCAATCCTCAGGCATGAACAGGAAGGATTAAGGTGTGGTGTTGGCTGGAGCTGGTAGGCTGTCGGTGACAGCAGTACTCCTAAGGATGTTGTGCTGGACTGTTTGGTTCCAGCGTGAGGTGAGGCTGGACCAGGCGCCATATTCTTAAAAGAGAAAAGCAAAGCCATTGCGACGGAAAACGATGCTTTTGGTGTCAGGTTGGATGGCTGGCTTCCCAATTCCCTTCCTTTCCCAACAGTTAATTTCAGTCTCAGCATCTCTGCCTTGCGTAGTTATGACACCATGGAGAGTTTCGCTTGCTTGTTAGTACCCCCTGTTTTGATCACTGACCCTAAGAATTGCTCTTCAAGAGGACGCCAAAAGCAAAGAGTTTATGATGTTGACAACGCCCAGCTACCTGCTTACATTGAACTTCAACTCCCAGTTTGCAATGCGAAAGGAATCCAAAGGACTAACGTGAGCGCATTGCACCCTGGGAGGAAGAATCGCGACGGGTCCGGTGGATTGTGGGAGTCGTAGTTCTGTGTGCGTGTGATGCACACCGTTCGGTAGGATGGACTCGGGAAAGAGTGATTTACCTGCTAGGAAGGGATACTTTTGAGAGCTGCAGTGCTGTATGCTGGGGTATTTGTAGTCTGAAGTCCTCACCTTGAGTTCTATGAGGGACAATGCTACCTCCGCGGTGCCCGCCCCTTCCCTTGGTATCTCCTTCAGAGATGGCCAGTCATCTCTGCGGACTGTAGATGAAGCGGTGAAAAAGGAAGTAGCATCATTATACTTGACAGAAGGCGTTTAGATGGCATTTTTACCAGGTAGCTGTGTCCTGCTCACTTTTGAGGTATGCTTAGCATTCTCAGAAGCGTAAAACTGCAAAGGGCTTAAAGACCATCTGTATTAATCCCCTGGTTTCCAGATGCACAGAGGGGAGTAGTGATTTGCTTAGTTCATTTTATGACAGACATATGAATGAAACATTTCTTTAAAAAAAAAAAAATNATGGGGGGTGGTCCCCGGGCTCCGCCTCTCGCCGCCGCCGCCTCCTGCGTCCCGGCTGCCGCGCACTTGGCGCAAACTTACCGCGAGCGCCCGCAAAGCCACCCGCGCAGGC